TTCTGAACATGGATCTAGCATGTTTCTAAAAGAGCACTAAGCCCAAGTCAAAAAATAGCCCAGCTGACTGATCCCAGTTTTAGGAGGGGTGCAGAATAAAATGGACAGAAGCTTTTCTAAGTTCCTGTTCAAGGTGCTCCATGCAACTTCAACCCATGCCAGCAGCCATGGCTTTTTCTATTGGGGAGACGGTTACCTTTATAGCTTTTGTTCTTGGGAGGGGTGGAGGACAGGAAGAGTGGCTGGAGGGGATTGGAAAATCAAGCAACAGTTAAAGATTCCAAAAACCCTGGCTGAGGTTCAGTCTGAAAGGAGATTTTTAGTCATTGGGTTGGTGAAATGAGATATTTTTTATTATTATTTTATTTATATTTAACCTTTATTGCTTTTAAAAATAACTCAGCAGAGAAAACACACCGTACTCCTTCTGTTTTCCCCACAAGAAGCCTGTGAGATGGGTTGGGTTGGGCTGAGAGGGAGTCACCCAGCCAGCTTTCATGCCTAAGAATTCACATTCTCCTGGCTTCTAAGCCTGGTGGTGCTTTAACCACTAGACCAACTGCCTCCAATATCTCAATCATCATTGGAACAGCTTGAAGGGAATCCATCAGAGATTTGCCTCCTTTGTGGCACCTCATTAGCTGCTCTCGTATATTCAAATACCACCTTTCCTAAAGACTGGCACCATCAGAGCAATTTATGATTCCACCATACAGTACAGTTTCTTCTCCTAACAATTACCTTTCCTTGACCCCAAATATTTTGTTCTTTTCAACACAAACGTGGTAAATGTAAAGGAGTGGAGAGATGGCCTTGGAGAAAGAACTGTTAAGTAAACACCAGATCGGCCCTGAAAGAGAAAAGGGAGCCAGAAACAAATTCAAGATTGCCTTTCAATCTCTTTGATGAAAGAAGGGGGAAGAGAGACAGCCTCTCTGCCAGGTTTTTAAGATGCTCTCATTAAACCTGGCAACAATAAAACAAAGTACCAGAGGGGATTTATTTGGTCTTGGCCATTTTCACTCGGGCACTAGGAATGCCTCTTTTCCAAAGGAGTGCAATATCTGTGTATATCAGGAGCCTATATATAGGGCAGTGATGGCTAACCTTTTTGTTATTGGGTGCCAAAAATGCAAGCATGTGCACACGATAGCACATGTGCGTGCTGGCATTCAATACAAAGTGCACTCCCACATGCACATGGTGCACATACACACACACACTCATCCCTCACACCCGCCGCACTGCTCGCCTACAAGCTGAGCTTAGCATTTCCTCCAGGGGGCGGGGGAGGCCGTTTTTGCCCTCCTCAGGCTCCGGGAAAGCCCCCGAAGCCTGGGGAGGGTGAAAAATGGGCCCAATGGGCCAACTGGAAGTTTGGAAATGATCAATTTCTGGCTTCCGGAGGGTCTCTGGGGGGGCCGGGAGAGACTTCCGGTAGGCCTGTTGGACCTAAAGCCTGGGGAGGGTGAAAAATGCCTCCCTTGGCCCACTGGAAGGCTGAAAATCAGCTGGCTGGCACACACATGCGCACTTAAGCTGACAGCTCAGATACTGGCAGATATGGCTCTGTGCACCACCTGTGGCACACGTGCCATAGGCTCGCCATCACGGATATAGGGTATACTGTATATAAGAGTTTTAGCGAGATGAAACATATGAAGAACAGTTGCAGGAATTGAGTACAAATAGTCCTTGACTTACAACAGTTCATATCATGACTGTTCAAAGTTACAACAGCACTGAAAAAAGTGATTTATGACCATTTTGTACACTACCATTACAGCATCCTCATGGTCATGTGATCAAAAGTCAAATGTTTGGCAACTATGTATGACACTTGCAGTTCCCTGGGGTCATGTGAGTATCTTTTGTGACAAGCAAAGTCAATGGAGGAGCCACATTCACTTAACAACTACGTTACTAACTTAACACATGCAATTATTCACTTAATACTGTGGGGAAAAAAAAGTCACAAAATGGGGCAAACTCACTGAACAAATGCAACATAAATTTTGGGCTCAGTTGTGGTTGTAACTCAAGGACCATCTTTATGTCTAGTCTAATGAAAAGGACTAATGGTGACGATAGCACTCTTTAAGGGGCTGCCACAAAGAAGAGAGTGTCAGCTCTCTTGAAGGCAAGACAAAAAACAATGGATGGAACTAATCAAGGAGAGAAGCCAGGTAGAACCAAGGAGAAATTTCCTGACAAGTAGGCAAGGAGGTGGGGAGAGCAGTGGAACAGTTTGCCTCCAGAAGTTGTGGGTGCTCCATTACTGGAAGTTTTTAAAATGAAATTGGACAACCATTTGTCTGAAATGGTATAGGGCTGTGATGGCAAACATATGGCACGCATGCCAGAGGTGGCACGCAGAGTCCTCTGCGTGCTGGTATGTGTACTGTCCAGGTCAGATCTCCGTGGCATTTTCTTTTGTGAGCTTGTTCCCCTGCAAACAACGAAACAGAAGCTCACAAAAGAAAAAGATCTTACCTTTTGCCACACTGCCCATGTTGGGATGCCCTGCTTCTCGGTGGCCAGCTGGTATTCAGGTATAGCTGAAGAGCACGTGCACGCACACCTGTTTGGGCATTTGTTGTCTAAAAGGTTCGCCATCACTGGTATAGGGTCTCCTGCTTGAGCAGTGGTTGGATCTCCAAGATCCCTTCCAACACTGTTATTCCATATACCAAAAAGTAATGCCTATGTGTGAATAAGAAATCTATGGGACATCTGACAAGCACTTCAAAAATTTCTGCAAGAACAAGATGTTTGGTCTTTCCTGAAGCCCAGAATTAAATGATCCTGGAGGGCAATGCTGGGAACTATTCCTACAGGATCCAGATGTGAAGAAGAGATTGGACAGCAATTTATCTGAAATGCTATCGGGCAGGGGTGTGAAACTGGATGCATCATATTCAGATCACGCCCATCCCAGCTCCGCAAAGGGGAAATCGCTGTGAAAAGTCATGTAATGGCAATGTGACACCATGAGTTTGACACACATGGCCTAGGGTCTCCTGCTTGACCAGGGGGTTGGACCAGAAGACCTCCAAAGTCACTTCCAACTCTGTTATTCTTTATTCTATATAGGAAGAGCTGAGCAAATCCCAGCCCGATTGTGTCAACTACGTCAGTGAAAAAGTATTGTAGATGCAAAACCAAATGTGGAGGAGAAAATATTTATTTTAAAAACTGAAGGAATTAAAGATGGCTTTAGACTGCCTTGGGGATATGGTCTAAAAAGGGAGCATATTCATACCCTGGAATGAGGAAGTATGAGGATGAGATCACATAAGCCACTCCTCTCAGGTAAAGTCAGATGGGATGATGCCACACAGCTGAATAGCGGAACTGCAGCCACATGGACAGATGACATCACCTGTGAGTATGGTATACATGCTCAGATAGGAAACAGTCTCCCGATTGGCTCTGAGCATAGGCAGTTTTGCTAATTCTGTATATTATCCCTGGGCAATAAGCAGGCAATTCCCATCTGGATAATGAACTGTGTCTGAGGTTATGAATTCCACCAAATTCATGAAAACAGTAGTGGTGGAGGTTGCAACCTGTAGCATCCCTACAATGTTTGGATTTCCAGCCCACTTCTACGTGAGAGCAACTTTTACTAACTGCAGTAATGGTTTGGGTGCCTCTGCAGAAGGAAGCTGTAACCCAGACACTATCTGCACAACATCTGAACCAGCAATTTAATTTAACTCAGTTGAGACTAGCTTTCTGTGTTGTGTAGCAGCACCCAGTCCATTCCTTTATACCAGGGTCCCCCAACGTGGCATCTTTAAGACATGTGGACTTCAACTTCCAGAATTCCCCAATCAGCCATGCTGGCTGGGGAATTCTAGAAGTTGAAGTCCACAAGTCTTAAAGTTGCCAAGTTGGGAGACCCTGGTATAAAGAAATGGACTGGGTGCTGCTACACAACACAGACCCTGCTTTCTACCATCCCATTAACACCCCCCCCCCAACCTAGCTTCAGCTAAGTCAAACCAAAATTACCTTAAGGAATATGTTACAGGCCATTAAACCACAGCCTGATCATTTTGTCCTGGCACACTTATGTGACTCCTTAGCATGTGGTGTGAACCCAGCCATGGAAAAGTACCCTGAAAAAGCTACTGGATCAGCCTGCTGACAGGGAGGGTTGTTTTTTTTTTTTTGAGATAATTGAAAAAAGGGTGAGTATAACATTCTTTTAAAAAAGGCAGCTGTCTGTCATCACAAATATTAAATATTTCATGAGGGCTCCCTGAAGAGAAGCTTCGTGTGACACAGAAGCCCTGCTCGTTTGACCTTCTTCCGCCAAAGATATGCCGCCGGGGCTTTGTTTCTGCCGCAGCGGACCAGCCCCGCCATCTTTTCGGAATGTGCAGCGACGGCACTTTGCGAACAGGGCGGCTCTTCCCGTCCCTGGCTCCCGATGGAAGTCTTTTCTTCAACAAGTCGCCGTCCCTTTCTCTCGCCTAAAATCCATAAATCTGCCCGGTTGCTTCCCCGGCTTCGCACATCCCTCCTCCCCCCCCACACACTAAAAACCGTTGAGAAGAGGCTACTCTGAGAGAAACATTTGCCTCGGTAGCTAAATTCTACCAAAGAGAAATGCCTCGCTGCGTTTCATACAGTGAGGCGTCTCGGTTTTCCTGGAAACAACACTTTAGCTAGACTTAATTTCTTTTGTTAAGTATTTTATAGCATGATCCGAAATCGACGGCGAAGTCTCTTCTGGACCCCCGGGGGTGGGGTGGGGTGGAGAGCGCGTGACCCACCCGCTTTGGCGGCCGCCAGGAGGTGCAGACATGCCCCCCCCTCTCATTCTATCCTGCGCATGTCATTCCGTTCAGATTTCTGGACATTCGAACCTGCCAATTAGGCGGCAGCTGAAGGATGAGGAAGAAAAAGTAGAACCTGCCCTCCTCATTACCTTCCCCATTAACCACGCCCCCTTGCCTTAGGACACGCCCAAACGATATAAAAGGCCTCGCCCGGGGTTGTTTCAGCCCCAAAGAAGTTTTGGCTCACTGACGGCTTCCTAAACGGGTCGATTAGTGAGGAAGACTCTCGACCCGTTTTCGTTGGAGGTGCTTTCTCCCGGTATCTCGGTTTCCACGAAACATGGTAAGTGAACAAAGGATTATCCGAAAGGGTTACTACGCCTTTCACCCCCCCCCCCGGGGGACACTAGCTTCAACTGCAGTTTTTAAAGCATTCAGAGACCCCAGTTCTGGTCGGTAGAAAGAAGCGGCTCCTAGCTCCGACTGATAATGGCAGCACACATGACCGCCCGCATGGATGGATAGAGAGATAGATGTTGGGACGTTTCCTGCAGGGTATTACGCCCATCAGGAGGCGGGAAGTAGTCCCCGCGCCGGTTTAATCCCGCTTCGTTGGGTCATGACACCCTCCAAAAGTATTTCCCCTCTCTTGCGTCTCGGCTTTACATATTTTTCGTGGTTGAAAGAGTGGAGCTCTATCATTGGCTTGTTTGTTGCTGCAAGATTGCTCCAAGAGAGCAGTAAATAATCCATGATATTTAGAGATAAGCAGTTGGAGGTTTGGAGCTGATAAGAACAGACTGAGCTGTATTGGACAGGTTTGAATGAGGGGTCCACTGGTGCTTTCTCAGCTTGGTTGTTTTTGTTGCAGGACGTTTCGTTACCCGAACTAAATTAACCTAGTTTGGGTAATGAAGCGTCTGCAAGGAAAGCAGCCGAGCTCAGAGAGCATCAACGACCGGTCATTCCCACCCCTAGCTACAAATATTCTCTTTTATCGGTATCAAGTCTTGAATGCGGCAATATCGGTAATTACTCATGTCAAAAGCTCTTAAGATCTTGAGCAAGACTCCTGTAAAGTAAAGGTTCCCCTTGCACATATGTGCTAATCGTTCCCGACTCTAGGGGGCGGAGCTCATCTCCGTTTCAAAGCCGAAGAGCCAGCGCTGATGGAAGACATCTCCGTGATCATGTGGTCGGCATGACTAAAAGCCGAAGGCGCACGGAACGCTTTTACCTTCCCTCCAAAGTTGGTTCCTATTTTTTCTACTTGCATTTTTACATGCGTTCAAACTGCTAGGTTGGCAGAAGCTGGGACAAGTAACGGGAGCTCACTCCGTTATGCAGCTCTAGGGATTCGAACCGCCGACCTTTCTGATCGACAAGCTCAGCGTCTGAGCCACCGGGTTCCATGAAGCTCCTGTATCCTCACTTTATTCTTTCCATGAAATGGATGGGCAACTCTTGCCCAAATCTTCCAGGCTTTGTACAGCACAGAGAAAGGTGACTGTCTCTTTAAAAAAAGCTACCAGTAGGAGGTGGCCTAATAGGGAATCTTTATCTTGCTTTTAGGAGCAGGATGTGACGATGCTTCAGTCTTGTGACTCATCATCTTTGCCTTCATTTTTCATAGATACCTGTTGAGTCATTTTTCTTGGAAAAGGCAGACATTAGCATATGAAGTTTCAAATCCTGTTAAACAACCCACGCTGCTTTTCCAATTTTTTTGAGTGTCTACTAATTTTTTAAAAAAACCCTTTTCTAGGTAATACTTCTCCCTAGCAGGCATGAAAACAATAAAAACAGGAAGTAACAATATTGCAAAATGACCAGCATTAGCACTTTAAGCCACATTTTAAAAAGCCTTCCTTAAACATCATAATAAAGTATTATAAAATGAAAGAGGCCACGTTTGACCTTGAAAACATGTGGCTTTGCTATTTGCTGTAAAAGGCTTTGAGAGTATTGCACAAAGCCAGTTACAAATAGGATTAGCAGAATTTTTGAATGGATCTGGTGCATATATGATGTCCAGGCCAAATCAAATCAGGACTGCAGAGCACCATTGGATACTTTGCAGTGGTGACAAGATTTTGTGGAAGATGCATCTGGAACATACTTTAAATTGACATTGTTCAAATACTTGATCTGAGGGATATATTTTTTTAATGTTAAGTTTAGGCAGGAAAATGGTGTTTGTGTTAAGGTTAAGATAAATTGCTGTTTGGTTTAGTATAAGCTGATGATTGACTTCTTTTCTTAAGGCTCACCATAATTGAAGTATCTGCCATCTATTTGAAAATAGTGTAGACTACATCAAATGAAATTATATTCTAGATGTTTTTGCTTCAGTTTCATGTTTCAAGATACATAGGAATTTTGAAATTCTTTTACTTTGTGGTTTTTACTGTATTGTCTCTACTGATCTCATGCCAAGCCTTCTAGAAAGATGCACAATTTTTATAATAAGAATTCCAGATGTTTCATGGTGCTCTCATAAATGAATAGTTAGTATTTACTTACAACAGGAAGGAAATAAGTTGCAGTGTTTGTGCATGTTTTTTTTTAAAATCTGAAGCAGCTTTGGAACTCTACATTTTGGGTATAAAGTAGTGTCAATCCAGCTTTTAGGGATTTGGGACTAACATTTGACACTTACATTAATATTCTGGGCTCAGAATAATATGATTTCATCAAGATCTTAAAGATCTGGATGAAGCCACCCAGAGTCACCTTGTAAGGGGAGATGGGCAGCATAGAAATTTAATAAATAAATATCTTTGGCTCACAACTTCCAATCATCTGCACCCAAAATCACCAGTACCCATGTTGGTTGGGAATACTGGGAGCTGTAGTATAGGTCAGCTGGAAATGGTTAAGTTGGAGAAGGCCGAGCTATTTTAATTTTCAGGCTGTTCTCCCCTACCCTTTCTTAGTGCTGAATGATAAGATACTTGCATTGCTTTCCTGAAATGACTAATATGTTTAGGTGGGTCAGGCCTGAGGATTCTCCTGAATATTCCCTTTGATGCACGGACTAGTTAAAACAAGCACATTCCTGCTAGGATTCCTAAAATAGTTTGCTCCCAATAGAAGAGAATATATGTAGCTCAAGGTTAAACTGTGGAGTCCTTGGTGCTCTCTGAGCTTGGTTGCTTGCATGCAGGTGTTTCATGATCCATCTAGGTAATACCAGGGCAATAGTACATGGAAACATCTTCAAGCAACCAACCAACCAGGTTCAGAGGGTTCCACCACAAAACCGCGGTAGACAAAAGCGCGCTCGACGAAAGCGTGTACGTGACGTCATCACAGCGCGACGAAAAAAATTAAAAATAAAAAAAAAAATAAAAAAAAAA